AGCTTGGTAAAATACTTGGCGGTACGGAGCTGTTCAAGAGCAGCAGGAACCAGAGGCAATGGATAGCGGAACTTAACGATGATCTCATTCAAACTGCGGTAATCAATACAGGGTCGTAAACCTCCATCCTTCTTCTTAACGAAGAAAAAGCCAGCTGAAGCAGGAGAAGTAGATGGTCTTATGAAGCCCTTGGATAGCTGTTCTTCAATGTAAGTCTTCATCGCTTCAGATTCGGGCTGTGAAAGAGGGAAAATTCTTCCTCGAGTAGGAGAGGCGCCGGTAATGAGATCGATCGCGCAGTCATAGGGACGGTGAGGAGGAAGTTTGGTTGCCTGATCCTCACTGAAGGCTAACGAGAGATCTTGATATTGAACAGGAATCGTAGCTGATTCTGGAACTTCGGAATGAGGAATGGATAAGGACACCTTGGTGATGGAGCGGAGACAATCCCTGTGACATGCATTAGACCACTGAACTATCTGTTTTTCAGACCATGAGATGACGGGGTTGTGTTTCTCCAACCAGGGTAGTCCTAGAATGATTGGGTGTCGTGGTGAGTCAATGGTAAACAGTTGGATGATCTCAGAGTGAAGGGTGCTGGTCTCTAATGTTACTGCTTGCGAGATGTATTGTATCTCGCCGTTCCCCAACGGACGTCCATCTAACGCTGCTACAGCCCTCGGAGGTGAGCATGGGAGAAGAGAGATATGGTAAGTCTTGGCGAAAGATAGATCAATAAAATTTCCAGCCGCCCCAGAATCTACTAGTGCTGTAGTATTAATCCTATCTCCCCTAGAGTACAGCGTAACATCCAATTCAAACACATTAGAGGAATAGGAATTGTAACTCACCGCTTTGGGATCTCGTGATGTGGGTCGTTTGGGACATGTCGCCCTCATGTGGCCAGATTCCCCGCAGTAGAGACACAGTCGGTTACGAACTCTTCTCTCTCTCTCTTCCTGAGTTAGATGGGTGTAGCCGATCTGCATGGGTTCGCTCTCCTGAACAGCAAATGGAGCTGGATTGCCTCTGTGACCCTGGGGAACTCTCCGAGCTCGTATAAGATTATCCAGCCGAATTGATAAGTTGATGAGTTGATGAAGTGATTTTCCCTCATCCCGACAAGCCAGTTCTCCCTGAAGCTCTGTACTCAGACCCTTACGGTACAGCAGTTTGAGTGGATCATCACCCCAGCCTGTCTGTGCAGCGAGAGTCCGGAAGGACAGAGCGTAATCAGCTGCTGAAGAATCGCCCTGACGTAACGCAAGCAGCAGCTCACCTGGTTCCTTTCCTCCGGTGGGATGCTCAAACACTTCTTTGAATTGTAGCATAAAGTTGTGATAGGACGGGAATGATAGATTGCCTCCCTCCCACAGTGAACTGAACAGACTTGACTAACTGCTCAGTAAGTGTCGTAAGTTTGACCAGCTGTTGCTGGTGAGACGCCAGAATATTAGCCTGAGTAGACAGCTCTGATGCTAGATGATGCATGGCTGCTGGATCCTGTGTTGGCGAAGTCTTCTGTAATGGAGAGGCAGAGGCGTGCGGATCCATATGCAGTGTAGATTTATTAAGAATAGTAATACAGGCTAGGGTCAACGATCAGCATCAATGTATAACAGACAATCCACAAGAATCACCGATAACAGGCAGGGGTCAGGACAGGCAGCAATGATCAAAGTCCAGAAGAGACAGGCGAGGGTCAGGGCAGGCAGCAAGGGTCGTAATCCAGAAACACAGGCAATGGTCAGGGCAGGCAGCAAACGGAGAATCAAAGTCCAAGAACAGTCGAGGGTCGATACACAGAGAATCCAGATAAACACAGGGGAAAACGCTCAGAAATGTCGCCGGGGCAAAACAAGACTTCGCACTGATTGAGAGTCAGCGGGCTGTTTATATAGGAGAGTAAATAGGGAACACCTGTGCCGGTGATTATACCTAGGTACGGGGCTTACGGGAAATGCAGTTCAATACTCGGGAGACGGAGCTCTATGATGAGCGGAGAGAGCCACAGAGGAGCGATTCATGACAAGCAGCATCCCAGTCGTCAAAGTTGTCATATTCTCCATAAATGTTAAAAGAAATAACGAAGTCGCTCATTGTTGTATTAGTAGGCTATGTAATATCTAACTAACGTTAGATGTTTGTTTTGATAGAGCAAATTGTTAACGGATACTTTGACTGCCTGTTGCTATGGTTACTCACAGCTGTTGTGGGCAGTGCATTTATTTATTAATTTCGAATGGTAAACAGGCAGTTTCACCAGAACTACTTTACTAGGTGTCCTCTATCACTTTTTAATGGACACCCTGCAGCCAATCAGAATCGAGTATTCACCCAGACCATGGTATAAGATTTGCTTATTTAACAAGATATGTTACAGGGGGAAAACATTTAAAAGAAACTGTACTGTTAATCAGTCTCCCTTTACCAACATCTCATGAAAGTGCGTATCTATAGCACAAATTTTTGTTTCTCGTGCCATTTATATGGCAAAAATACTTTTGCATACAAATGATAGGTAAGGCAAGTTTATTTATATAGCACATTTCATAAGCAATGGCAATTCAAAGTGCTTTACATAGAAGAAATTATCAAAAGAAACAGAATAATTGAAAACAATTTGAATAAATAAAAAATATTCCTTTGGGGATATGCACTGTAAATCTCTTGGGGTTAGGGGTGTGGAGTGCATGCGTATTACACGCCATAAAGTGCATATCATATGCAAACATAAACTGCGTACCATATGCATGCAAAAACTATTTTTGCCGTATAAATGGTACGATAAATTAATTTTGTGCTATAGATACGCAGATCAGCCTTCCTTTTACCCACAGGAAAAGCCTATTACAACAACATGCTGAAAGCATAACCTCGTGAATATTAATATCTTAGGTAGAGGTGCCTTGGGTCTGGAGGCTTGATCCTGGGATGAAATGTGGAGAAATCATAATGTTAAGTTTTCTGTAATTACTTTTTTTTATTTGTCCGATCAAACACTATATTAGATAATATTTGACATTCTTCATATTGGTGTGTTTCTTTATTGAACGCATGTTTAAGCAGAATGGTAAAACGAATAATATTGGAGGGTAAATGGAAGTAACCATGTGATAACATCTGAAAACAAAAACCAAAAACTGCTGATAAATACTCTTTTTTTTTTTGGTATATAAATGGTGGTTTAGTTTTGATGCTCCTTAAAAGGTGAAGTTGTATGTTTTAACCAATCAGTAAACACTACGGATATTTCCTGGTTTAAGGATATATAAACAGCAGTTTTTGGGACTTCTAAAAGAACTTTCCTGGCTGTGTGTTGAACGTGCTGAAATAAGGTAAAAATCAGACTTTTAATTAACACTTCTATCACAATATTTTTCCAGTAATATGATGGGTAATTCACACATCTCTTTTTTATTTCCTAGAAAAAAAAAAAGAAAAAAAAGTTGTATTGGTATATATACTGTTAATAAATGTTGGATATAAAAACTGTCCGTTAAAATTAAAATATGAAGAGTTCAGATGCAAAAGCCTCTAAATGCCATTTGAAATTTTCTTCTTTAATGATGATTTTTATCAAACTTGTATATTTAAGTTCAGTAATTTCACTTAAATGGCAATGCTAATTACCTATTAATTGTTATTTAAGTGAAATTACTGAACTTAAATATACAAGTTTGATTAAAACACTGTAAAATCTAACATTGTTCTTACTAAGAATTTTTTGTTAACTTTACTTAAAGTGCAATAATTTGTTGAACTTACTTAAAATTTCTTAGTAATCTGTACTGTTTGCATGTGTGCTTTCGTTACTCAGAAAAACCTTGTAAACATTACTTGATTGGTTTGAGTACCATTTTCTATTTGCATTCGCTCATTTTCCAGTCATCTTGAGTGTTATTGTCAATACACCTAAATATTTTTGGGAGAACATCAAAATTCTTTAGTTGACTTGGGTTGATTTCCCTTTCTCACCATTATTGTGATTGATGTTCCCTTTGGTTGGGCACTTGGAACTTAATTTATATTATTGTTCTCTTCCAATTGTTTGCAGTGATGCAACTTGAAATCATAATTATTTGGTTTCAAAGGAAGTGAAGTAATTTATATTTATATATATATATATATATATACACAAACACACATACTTAAATTAATTAATAAATTATATATAACATAAATATATTTCATGTATAATAATGATCTTTTAAAAAATTTTTGCTAACGCTTATGGCATAAATCTTCAATTGGGTTGATATAATCCCTCTATATTTGTGACAATATCTTGCAATTTTGGTGAGTCACACACAGACTTCAACATTCAGCATGCAAACCACAACAGTGGTAACATTTTTAAAAAATCATTTAATTAATTAGACATTACAATTTTATTTGCTGTCTCTTTTCAGTATAACCCCAATAACGATGGCAAATAAAATTGTAATAAAGCCAAAAATAGTAAAATAAAGCAATTAATTTATTCATGCCGCAATGCACTCTGGGAGTACACTTCCTCGGTTCACGGATACTGGAAAGTAAAAGATCAAGTATAGTATAGAAATTATTTTAAGTTACTGGAACTCTCTTGTAAGTGTACACTACTACACAGTAAAAACTGAAGTGTTAATTTAACTCCTATAGAGTTGAAATTGACTCTGTCTCAGATAACATTTGGTCCCACTCAAACTCAGTGTAAAATTAACTCTTTGGTCAGTGTCAGGTTTTTAGAGTTAATTCTACTCAATATTGTGTAAAAAAGAACAATGAAATGTGTAAAAGTATTTAACACTGTAGTTTAATTGCACTGTTAAGAGTAATATGATCACACTGTAGAGTTAATTTAACTACAATTTTACTTTAAAAAAATGACACTTTAAGTGTAATATTTACTTTTCATTTCTCAGTGATTTAAAAAATATATAAATCATAAGATGCAGTGTTACTGAATTATATGAATTATTATCAACTACAATCAAATGAAAACAAGCACAATCAAATTAGATCACAGCACTCACCATTTATTGTAACAAACAAAGAAAGCAAAGAAAAAAACAAAGAAAATTTCAATGTCAGTGAAATTACATTGCAAACCCATTGCCTTGTCTCTGACAGAAACATATCGTCATCATAATGTTTACCAGAGAAAGCAATATGGCACGATGAGGATAGTTGTGTCATTCCCTCCATATGACATTTGTATGTCAAAAGGCCTAGGGTAATGCAGGTTGTCGACATGAAAAAAAAAATAATAATCCTGCTTTGATCTGATCTCCTCATAAGCATGGAAATGTTCTTGAAAAGTTACTGTAACTAAAGGCACTGTGAGTAGCAACAGTTTTTCAAACATTATCAGAACTGACTCAATCTGATAAAACACGGGCATAGAATCAACTAAACTGCTTCCATGGCACTTATTAAGATGCTTTCTTAAACCAGAAAAACTACCAAAAGAACGCATCCTTCTTGACCACACTTCAAAAAAAGAGTCCTGCCTGTACATAGTCCATGAATTACCTTAAAGTGCTTAACAAGGTTGTTTGGACCTCCATGGTCACTTTTGCAAAGAAAACACTTCATAGTTTTATCTCAACTAACGCACCATTCTTGCTCGCAACTCCGCAACTCTAGGGGTCTCCTTTGTTTCCCCCATGTCAATGGTTGTTTGAACAAAAGTGAAAAAGCTGCTCAGGGAAGAACTGTATGACGTACCAAAGACGTAATGGGCTTTAAAGAGTTCGTCAAAAGCTCCAACTGAACCTTTTGCCTTGCATGGAAGTGCATGCTTGTCAACCACAATAAAGAAGGAGTGAATGGTGCTTTGTGTGGATCCCTGGGCGAGAAGATAGGGCTGACTGCTTTGGGTGATGTTGTCTAGATGCTGCTGCACACTGGTTCCAACCTACAACAAAACACATTTAACAGAATTGTTTTGGTGACTAACTTCTGAGAATAGATCAGATCCCCTCAAACTGTGCACAAGATTGAGGTGATGGAAGATATATTAACAACTCTTAAAGGATTAGTTCACTTTGAAAACATTTTTTGCTTATAGTTTACTAACCCCCATGTCATCCAAGATTTTCATGTCTTTCTTTCTTCAGTCAAAAAGAAATTAAGGTTTGAGGAAAACATTACAGGATTTTTCTCCATATAATGGACTTCCACGGTGACCAACGGTTTGAGGGTTCAAATAAGGGTTCAAAGTCTGTCTCAATTGAGCTTCAATGTCTCGACTTGATCTCAGCAGAGAAATAAGGTTCTTTTATTTTGAAAACGGCCGTATTTTTATTTTGAAAACGACCATTTGTTTCGCTACATAAGAACTTTATTTTTCTGCTGGGATCATGTCGAGACTTTGAAGCTACATTGAGACAGACTTTGAACCCTCAAACCATTGGTCCCCATTGAAGTCCATTATATGGAGAAAAATCCTGTAATGTTTTCCTCAAACCTTAATTTCTTTTTGACTGAAGAAAGAAAGACATGAACATCTTGGATGACATGGGGGTGAGTAAATTATCAGCCAAAATGTTTTTAGAAGTGAAGTAATCATTTAAGCATACCTTTTGAAATCTGATGAGCTGATCTACAGCTTGATATGCAGACAGCTTTCCCGGCCTCTTTCTACCTTGTGCAGATGGTGGTAGCAAATGTAGCAGCAGCAAGATGGCAGACATGTCACTGTCCCAGCCTACAAATAAGTGAATAAAAACCTGGTTAACATTATACCACAGTATAGCATTCAAATTGACAACTCGCACCAATACGAAAATGTACACTACACAACTACATAACCCACAATAAGAAGTAAAACAGTTCCATTCATACCATTCTCAACTTCAGCAGCTGACTCAGCATTGCGCATCAAATCCAAGAGTTCTGTGGTGGGTACAAGTCCATGGATTTCCTTTATTACTTTTGCTTTGAAAGTGGTTGGCCACTTCTCCAAAAATTTGTTGGCCGTGGCCTCACCAAACAGAAGTCTGAAATCTTGTTCTATCTGCAATGTAACACACATAGACAGAAGTGATGAGTGATACATAATGCTACATTGGATATTTTGGTGATGCAGTGAATTATTAAGATGTCATACCAGTCCTGGTGTGTCCAGAAATCTTGGGAAGACCAAGAAGACATCTGATGATTTGGCTTCATCGTTGACCATTGCTTGCCGATATATGAAGGTCATTTTCATCTTCTCACGGACAGTCTTTTCATCAGAAGAGTGTTTTAAAACAGCAATAGCTGCTTCCACATCCTCATCAGACAGCTCTCTGTCATTGGCCAAGGGCTGACGACCACGGCCTGGCCCACCAACTTAAGAGAAAATACAATGTTAAGTACTAATTTCTGTACAATTCACAGGTTATAATCACATGTCACTTATCAGTAAACATACCTTTAGGAGATTTGCTGACTGAGGCACCTCTTTCCTCTGCTGATTTTCTCTGTATGGTCTTCAATCGCCATGCAAGGTAACCCGAACCACTCTCCGGATCGTAGTAATGTTCCTATGCAATTGTAATAATTTTTTATATTTGTAATACTATTAACATTTCAAACAGTGAATATGTGCATAATGTTGCACTAACCCATTTACTTACATATCCATGTTGTGAGTATGGGTCTTCTAGATAGGGAAACAAGGCTACTATCCCCTGTGCATACATCACTCTAACACTTTTGGGGGGGGGATGTCCTAGCAAATGAATTCAAAGTTAACATCATACTCAATTGACATTGCACAACACAATTTACATAATTAATAATTGTAAAATAATAACAATGTTTCTTTATAGCCCCTTAATGCTTACCCATGTGTTTCTGTCATCTCAGCAGCAAGTATGTTAATCATCTGTCTTCTGGTGGCATCCGTCAGAGATTTGGTTTTTCCATACTCTTGCATAATGCGTTCACCACCAGGTTTTGATGTTAGGATTTTTTCAATCAACTATAGGTGGAATAAAATGTGCTTTCCATTATTGTGAAACCATATGTAATGTTGAAAAAAATACTTATCTAGAACACTTCCCATGGTGAAACAACATTCAGATTGGACTTAACAGCAATTTCCACCACTTACCGCTTTTGCCTCGTAGTTTATGTGGCATGGCCTTTTAGGCTGGCTTCCTTCGTCAGCGGCTACTTCTTCAACAGGGTCACACATCATTAAATTCAGGATGATGGTGTCATCAGATGTACCCGAGCATGATGATGATTGAGAGGCACCTGTTCATTATGAAATATGTACAAAATATAAACACATTACAAGAATCAGTTATTTTTAAGACAATAAATATTCTCATTCCGGCCTTTAAACTAAACAAAATAATTTGTGAATTGTCTGAATAAATACCAAGTCCTCCATTGCCCAGCATGATTCTGAAAGTTCCAGGTGACTCCTTCACTATTTCTTCAAAAACCTCTGTCAACTTCTGTGTCTGACTGGTCATAAACCTTAATGTCTGGCTGCCTGCTTTCTGGTATGTTGAATTTTAGACATGCTGTTTAAAAAAGTTTAATAAAGAAAAAACATTCCCTTGTCACAAGAATCAATGGTCATATTTAATTTTGTATTCAAAAAAGATGAAAGACCTGCACCGGAGTTTGAACAGAAATGATTATTGACCTAACTAGATATCATAACATAATAGGTTAATGCTGTATTATTTTGTTATTGTGTGATGTATATTGCTTTAACCTAATGTACCCACCTTCTTTCAAGAAAGCATCAAATGTCAGCTCAGACAGCTTGACGTATTTCTGCTCTTCCCCGAATTGAACACGCAACAGCATTTTGCCCCTGTTAACATAGAAAATATATTCAAAATCATAATTTAAGGCTGGTTCAAATAAAAGTTACCTATCCATTTCTCTCAGTGCAATGCACTAGATTTTACGGTTACAATGGGCGGCTGAAGAAGACAAAGTTGTGCTGGTCGAATAACGTTTGGCTATTTTCTGCAGCAAATATAGGTTTAGGCTAACGTTAGTTAAATTTTAGAGGCACGTACGTTGTCTCATTAGCTAACGTTACCAAATAGCTGTGCCAAAGTTAGATATTTTAGTTCGAACAGTAACGTTAACCCGTTAAAATAGCCAACAAACACGTACATGCAATCAGTGATCTTATTTTCGCTTATAAGACCAACATTAACTATCAGAAGCATGCAATTGCTAACATTGCCAGTAACGTTATATAACGTTATATACAGACGTTGCCTGGGAAGCTAAAAATACATTAGCTATGAAAAGCTGTTAACTGTATTAAATATTGTATTGTTATAGCGACCGAGCTAACGTTATTTTACGCATAAATCGTTCATAAGTGAAAATATTGCAACACCGTGATATTGAAATATTGAAATCAACGACATGGATTGCTAGCTGGTTAACGTTAACGTTACGTTAATACCATTGACTCATATCAGCAAAACTTTAAAATTATGTAACTTAACGTTAAAAAATATCGTTTTGGTGTTAAAAACACAGGGATGTTACTTACCAAGTTATATCAGTGGTATAACGCTCAATCGCAGTCTTCTTCCACCGACATACGGGCACTTCAGCACAGCAGAATGGCGGGTATTCATCACTGCCGTAGAGTTGAAAATGCTGCGTTTCTGCAGATTTTTACACTCACTTTTAACTCCACTGATAGAGCAACTTTACTCTCCAAAATGTTGAAAATACTCTATCTGGGTTAAAATATGTTTACTCTGAACTTTTACTGTGTAGGCATGCACTTGTTAGTACTACATATTATTCCTATTTCACTTTACTCAGTTTTTTGAGTGCAATCGGTTTGCATGTTTTTTTTCAAGTAAGGTGTACTAATTGGATTTTACAGTGAATCATCATTAAAGAAGAACATTTCAAATGGCATTTAGAGGCTTTTGCATCTGAACTCTTCATATATAACATACTGTACATAATGCACATAATGCAAGCATAAAATAAGAAGACCTTCATTTCTTCTTTTTTATGATTACTAGTACTATTTAGTGGTATTGAAATGAAAGTATACCACAGTGATTGTGCTGTTACAGTTGGACATTGTGATGGCGTGCTTTTTTTATGTCTTTTTGCCTGTTCTAGTTAATTATTTTTATTTTTATTTTAACAAAACCAATTCAGTATCATTTTAATGTATTATTATTATTATTATTATTTTATTGCATTTCAGACAAACCATGGAAGACAAAAATTCAGACTCTGACTCCCAAACTGAAGAGAGGTACAGTATTCAAATGCTTTTGATGTTAGACAACTAAAAAACCCTGATTTTGTGGGTATTTACTTCCTTTCACGTCCCAGGGTTCACTCTATTTTGATAGCCCGGTTTATACATTCTCCTAACTATAAGCAACTTTGCATCTACATTCATACAAATAGCAATCATTTGAGTATTAGTAGACTGTCTGCATGATATCTACCAAGACTTTATTGTGATGCATACATTCTATTGACTACAAGTATCTTTGCCAGTACAGGTCAACCTAACTGTCTACTAATATTCTGACTGGTAGTTGACGTGTAACTTTACTTATAGTCAACAGAATGTCTAAAGGTGAACAACATCAAAATAAAGTGAAACCATAAAGAATATTACTAAGAAAAACACACTTTATTATTTATTGTTTGAAACTATTATGTAATTTCCACCACAATCAATTAATCTTCCCCAAATTTAGCATTGTAGTTTATCAAAGACACAGGTGTCAGAGAAGAGTTTGTGACAAAATTATGACACTTGTGATGTATGACTACTGCTGAACTAAAACTAAAGTAATGTGATGTTTGAGATCTTTTTGCGGGGAGTTTATTTTGTTATTTTAAAAATGGCTCGTTTAGTAGAAGAATCGTCCTGGTTACGCATGTAACCCACTGTTCCCTGAAGGAGAGAACAGAGGACTCATTCGACGGTCGACTGGGGAACGCGTCAGAGAGCCAGTGTTCTTCGAGTACTATTGAACGAGCCAAATGGAATTGGCGTGCCTGATTCGCATCACACACTCCGCCCACTGCTGTTCCTACAGGACCACTGGGAAAGCTTTCCCCGTACATTGGATGGAAGGGACGCTACGTAAGCCACATCCAACCTGGAGGAAGGTAACGTGGAGAATACACATATGAACTGGGCAGAGGACCGGGCAGTAAGACATATGGAATGTCACTGGGGTGGCTGAGGGAAGACACGGGTTGACCGAAGTGAGCCGTATTGTGGAAGAGAACCCATAATGGGGTCACCATAGGGACCGCAACATATCAGCCTAACACAGGTTCCACACTGCTTACAAAGGAACTCAATAGAGTTTGGTTTAAGGGAACTCAACTGGAGTTGAAACTGGCTTCAAGAGAAGGGAGCCCACGGAAGCACTGGTTCAAACTAAGTGTTTGCTTTAAATGGGACCCGTCACCAGTTCCGGAGCACACAGGAATGACCGCGGCAACACTGAATTCAGAGACCTGAAAAATAGTGAAGCACTCACTTTTTCGCCCTCAACCAGCCGTCAAACACAAAAACCTGCTTTGCTGTTAAGACAGCAGTTGAGAGCTCAAAGTTTGCAACCACTGCTGCACTGCACTGTAGAAATCACCTGGGGCCTGATGTATAAACGTTGCATTTTTCCACGCACACATCGGGATTTATAAAAAATAAACTTGGCGTAAATAAGTGCGCACCGTAAGGATGCTCTTGACCATGCGTACGCACTCTTTTAGGTTTTGGCGACACCGATGGTGAGCTGGAATCAAATGTCTTTTTGCTCACTATTAGACAGAGATTCTAAAGAAAATTATACATCTACAGAAATATAATTCAAAAATAATTTCACAAACCTATCATCACTTGAAGCATACATCCATCCCTTCTTAAATGACCGCGCCAGCACGCGCGTTGGGCCGTTTAGTGAAACTGACGCACATATAGCCTATAATCTAACGGCAGATGGAGTAAAACCGTAAATCTTCATTATGAGTCCAAATCATAAATACAGTCCATATTCACAATTTAAATAAAAAGTTTAAATAAATAAGAGAATGGTTTAAAGTATGTTTTACTTCTGATATAAACATTTAGATTAAATATGCCATTCTCATTAATGGAGTTAAACACTTAAACTACATGAAATCATTACTGAGAAGTTACAAAAAAATTATATTCAATAAATAGAAATAGTATTTGTTGTGGATGCAATGCTTTTCTTCTGGCATGCTGTGTTTTAATGTTTTTACTGATAGCTTATAGCAGATTGTCTGAGAAAATTGTTTCGTGCAAATAATGCACAACCATATCTATCTGTTTCCATTAAAATATAAATCATTTAAAAATACTATTTGGCCAGTGGAAAAGATTGAGAAAAACTTTCTCTGAAATGTCTTTAACACTATTTGATTTATTCATTAAAAAAAAAAAAAAAAAAAGGCAAGGATCGGCTACTAAAAAAAAATATGTTTGTAATAATGTGAAGGCATTTTATATTTTCCTAACGTCTTGTACAGTTAAACTTGGTATCACGTGGATGAATAATCAAATGAAAATGATATGCAGATGAGGATATGCATAGTAAAACTAGGCGTTCTAATCTCCATATTGTCACAGTCATCTGTCTGCACCAGTCTGTCTCGTCATCTGCACTACACTTCCCAGGATCTTTTTGTTTCTACTCCCGGTCTCACTCCCCAATCAGCCACCTGTTCCTCGTCCTGTCATCATCATTTTCACCTGTTTGCACCTCGTTTAGTTTGATTCCTCTGTGTATTTAGTTCCATCTCCTTCAGTCTGTCCTGGTCGGTCGATGTTGTTCTCATGTTAAATGTTACTTGGTGAAACCCTGTCTTCCTGCCTGTATGTTTGAAATAAATCCTTATCTTCGTGTTCATCTGGACTCCTCCCGCTCCTTCTGCCTGCACTCCTTCTTCAACCCGCACCCACACCGTGACAGATCGACCGACCACCAAACAATATGAACGCCATATGTTTCCAGGGGAAACTCTACCCAATTCTGCGACCCCGGTTAATTCTCGTCCCCCGGAAACCTGCGTTCACCGTCAGCCCTGCCGAGTCTGCGCTCACCATCAGCCCTGCCGAGTCTGCGCTCATGTCAGCCCTGCCGAGTCTGCACTCATCCGTCAGCCCTGCCGAGTCCGCGCTCACCGCCAGCCCTGTCGAGTCTGCGCTCACCGTCAGCCCTGTCGAGCCTGCGTTCACCGTCAGCCCTGCCGAGCCCGCGTTCACCGTCAGCCCTGTCGAGCCCGCGCTCTCCGTCAGCCCTCCTGAGCCTGAACGTTTTGCACTGCTGGTTCCGTCCAGCCCTCCAGAGCCTGAATGCTCTTCACCGCTGGTTCCGTCCAGCCCTCCCGGGCACGAACTCTCCGCCCCGCTGGTTCCGTCCAGCCTTCCCGAGCACGAACTCTCCGCCCCGCTGGTTCCGTCCAGCTCTCTCGAGAATGAACTCTCCGCCCCGCTGGTTCCGTCCAGCCCCCCCGAGCATGAACTCTCCGCCCCGCTGGTTCCGTCCAGCCCTTCCGAGCCTGAACTCTCTTCCCCGCTGGTTCCGTCCAGCCCTCCCGAGTCAGATCTCCCCTCTCCGCTGGTTCCGTCCAGCCCTTCCGAGCCTGAACGCTCACCCACGCTGGTTCCGTCCAGCCCTCCCGAGTCAGATCTCCCCTCATCGCTGGTCCCGTCCAGTCCTGCCAAGCCCGAACTCCCCTCACCGCTGGTTTCGTCCAGCCCACCCGAGCCTGTACTCCCCCCACCGCTGGTTCCGTCCAGCCCCATCCAGCCAGCGCCAGTGACCGTCCAGCCAGAGACCGTCCAGACCGTCCAGCCAGAGACCGTCCAGACCGTCCAGCCAGAGACCGTCCAGACCGTCCAGCCAGAGTCCGTCCAGACCATCCAGCCAGAGACCGTCCAGCCTGAGACCGTCCACTCCCCATTTGCCCTTCATCCGGGGACTCAACCCAAATATTTTTTTTGGGGGGGGCCCAGTGTCCCAGCCACGGCCGCCCGAAGGGCTCTCACCGCCGTGGCCGCCCGAAGGGACCTCACCGCCATGGCCGCCCGAAGGGACCTCACCGCCGTGGCCGCCCGAAGGGACCTCACCGCCGTGGCCGCCCGAAGGGTCCTCACCGCCGTGGCCGCCCGAAGGGACCTCACCGCCATGGCTGCCCGAAGGGTCCTCTCAGCCTGCTCCGCCCTGGCCACGCCCTCAGCCTGCTCCGCCCTGGCCACGCCTTCAGCCTGCTCCGCCACGCCCTCAGCCTGCTCCGCCCTGGCCACGCCTTCAGCCTGCTCCACCACGCCCTCGTCCTGCTCCGCCCTGGCCACGCCCTCGTCCTGCTCCGCCCTGGCCACACCCTCGTCCTGCTCCGCCCTGGAGGCTTCCTCCTCCAGTCCACGCCCTCCAAAGCCTCCAGGGCGCCCACCCCCCCTCCCCATTGATGTTACGGCGTAAAGTCACGCCTACCGGGAGGGGGAGTGATGTCACAGTCATCCGTCTGCACCAGTCTGTCTCGTCATCTGCACTACACTTCCCAGGATCCTTTTGTTTCTACTCCCGGTTTCACTCCCCAATCAGCCACCTGTTTCTCGTCCTGTCATCATCATTTTCACCTGTTTGCACCTCGTTTAGTTTGATTCCTCTGTGTATTTAGTTCCATCTCCTTCAGTCTGTCCTGGTCGGTCGATGTTGTTCTCATGTTAAATG